AGGCGACAACAGTGACGAGGAAGAAATATTTGAGACGGCGAGGAGTTATATTATTCCCTCTCCCACCGTTAAGTAGGCCGGGTTTAAATATTTGGAACTTTTTTAATTACTATTCACCATACATTTAAAGATAATTTTATTAGATAAAATATAAACCATAAAAGTAAAAACTTGCTGGCCAACTGCAGTATTTTTAAGCTACTTGGGTTGGTAGTCCTTCAATTCTCATTGATCTTTCCAAGTCACCATAGGACCTTATCAAAGTTTGATATCATATTTTATTTTTCATTTGGAACCTAACATCCTCTCTTATCATGTTGTTATTGTATATTGTGTTTGGTAAAATTGTATGTTTTTACCATTAGATTAAGTTTAAGAATGGGCAATTGGATGTTTGGTTTGATTGTTTAATAATGAGCGTTTGGATGTTGGATTTGATACATGGGTTAAATTTAAATTAAATTGAAATAGTTGGGTTTAATATTTAATTTAAGTTTTCAATCGCGATTGATAAGCTAAGCCACAACAATTACATAGAAGAGATAATAATAGTTACGAAGTTATTAACTGTTCTATTTTACTCTCACTATGCATGTATCAAGTGAATTTTTCAAGAACGATTCATGACTAGTTTGTAACCAAAATAAACATTTCCTTCAAAATTAAAATGGAACAATCAACTGTAATTTGGACTTAATTAAGCATATTATACTCTAATCGAGTGAGTCGGACAATTGACTTGATAATCACAATGTTTTAAGTTTGACTTTCTGTAGGAGTTAATTAGGGTTACAAATTTACAATGTAAGTTTTACCCAAAATACACTTCGAATAACTGGTGCAGAGTTTCTCATAAATTAATGTCTAATCAACATATTTTCTAATGCTTATTTAATATAACTTTTTATTTGGAGTACATGAAAAAGTATAAAGTATGGAACTAAGAACAAAAATGGTTAGTAAATCGGGCTTTAACTTAAAGTCCATTTAAATCACCCCAAAGGAAGCCCAAAAGGCCCAAAGAGATCACATGACTTATTTCTTATTGAAAGCTAGTGGAGCCAATTGAGAAAACTTTTACTTTTCGGGGTCAATCTAGAATTCATGACAAATTCAGGGAGCAACATAATAAAATCTAAAAAGAAAAATTAAAAAAATAATTATGGGGCAAGAGAAGGAGATCTAGAACCGGGAGAAAGCTTAGCTCTCAGAAACCCTAAGAAGTAAGAACAGTCCTTAAACCCTAACCCAAATTTCTGCAAATTTTCTGAAAGGGAAGACGACAATGGGAGATTCAGATGCCAAACGGGAAGTTTCATTGAAAGATCAAGGCAATGAATTCTTCAAAGCTGGGAACTATCTCAAAGCCGCTGCTCTCTACACTCAGGCCATCAAGAAAGACCCGTCAAACCCGACTCTTTACAGGTGCTTTGACACAATTAATGTGCATTTAAGCAATATGCGTTGGGATTACACTGTACTCTGCTTCATATACTGGCTGCTCGAGATCTCTGCTTAGATAATGTTAGGTGTTAAGTAGAATCTGTCGTTGTTTGCTTGTGTTATGGATTAACGAGAAGGGAGTAAGGAGCTGATACTTTCTTTGTAGAGTAACTAACAAAAGGAGCAGCTTTTTTAGGGCAGGAGTAGTTTACTGTTTATTTTTCTGCTTGATGAATTCTACTTATTTCTAAGCAATTGCTTTACTATCTTTATCTATGCTTGATGTTGTTTTGCATCACCAAAAAATATTGAATTTTGGGATGCAAAGGCCGGCCAAAAAGAAAATCTATAATCATGATGCATAGATGAAATTTCTAAACGTCCGTCCCACTGTTCCACCGTTCAGGATCCATCTAATGTGATCCATTCGACCGTTCTAAGCCAGGCTCAATTAAATTCAATTCACCTCGTTGATTAACAGTACGCTGTTGATATTGGTTTTAGACTTTCAAGTGCAGGCATTATGTTAGCATAGAAAATTCCACTTTTTGTGTAGTGTAAAGTCGTTTACTTCTGTTAACCTTGATGCTATGTTAACACAGAAATCAGGGTTTGGCTCACTTGATTAATTCATGCCTGGCCTATAAAATAGTTTGAGACAAATCCTACATGCTCTTTACATGTTTCCAATTTGGCTTTTGTGTGAGATTTCTGCCTTCCTTCTTTGCTCTGTATATGGTTTTGTTTTGCATAATGTTTCTTTTCATCCACTCTTAATATCTAGTCATTGCAATCTCTGATGTTTATGGCTACAAAACAGATTGAAAAGAAATGGAGGCTTGTCTAAAATTAAACAATTAGAATTTGTGATTAAGATCTACAGTTGCATTTTAAAATTCTCGACTACTTGTGACTTTTTTGACCATTCTTTTTCTAATGCATTTTTAGCATTTTTCCTTGTCTTTGCCAGCAATCGTGCTGCAGCATTTCTACACCTGGTTAAACTCAACAAAGCACTTGCCGATGCAGAGATGACAATCAGTTTGAAGCCAGACTGGGAAAAGGTATTCTCCCAGAGTCTCTGACAATTTTTTATGGCTACACATTCAAGACATAACTTTATTTACACGTTTTTACTTTGTGTACCTAATGGAACTGCTTGTGCCACAGGGTTATTTTAGGAAAGGATGTATACTGGAGGCAATGGAACGATATGATGAGGTATGTATGAAATGTCTTTTTCCATCTATCTTGCAGCTATTTGCCTATTTTAACAAAACCATAAATTTGATGCTGATGTTACGAGTTTGTATGATATAGGCACTGGATGCTTTCCAGATTGCATTGAAGCACAATCCACAAAGTTCAGAGGTATCTAGAAAGATCAAATCACTTAACCAATTGGCAAAAGAGAAAAAGCGAGCTGAAGAAGTGGAAAACATGAGATCTAATGTCAACATGTCAAAGCATTTGGATACATTGAAATCTGAACTGGTAAGAGACTCTTACTATGATTATTCTTATTAGATATAAGCTTAGTTACTATTGGAAGTTATACATAACGACTCTGTAGAAGGTAGTCATATCTCGGGGATTCAAAATGAAGAGTGGCTAAACTCGTTTCTATTTTACATTTTTGCAGTCGGAAAAATGTGGAGCTGAAGCTTGTAATGAAGTTTTCTCTTTTCTTGTTGAAACAATGGAAATGGCTGTAAAAGCATGGCATGAAACTTCTAAAGTGGACCCTAGAGTTTATTTCCTTCTTAACAAGGAGAAGACAGATACTGAGAAATATGCTCCAGTTGTCAATATTGACAAGGTTTGAATCTGATTTTGTTTCCAAATTCTTGTCGTAGTTGAGGTTGTCTTTGTTTTACTTCTGACTTTTCCCCCCAGACTTGTATATGACTCTCATTTTGCCTTCTCCTTCAAGTCTTCAACATGTTATATAATTGTGCATTTTTCTTAATTGTCTCAGGCCTTTGAGTCACCACATACACACAGCAGTTGTTATTCTTTCCTCAGACAATATGCTGAAGATTCATTCTCTCATGCATCATGCTTAGTTGCACCCAAGAATATTATATCTTATCCACAGGTTGGTTTTTAATGTTTATGCCTTGCCATTTGAAATAAGGTTGAAGTTATAACTAGGAATGCAGAAACCTGTATAGGGGCATACGTGCCACCAAATCCTGGAATGATAAATATCATCTTATAGCATTTTATATACAATTAACTGTAGGTCTGGAAAGGTCAAGGATCAAGGAAATGGAAACATGGTCAAAGTGATGGATTTTTCATTCAATTTGAATCACCTTCTACACGCAAGCTCTGGTTTATTCCTAGTTCAACTGAGAACGGAAAAATCTTGTGCAGGTCTCTTACCCTCTCTTAACATTTACTTTGTTTAGGTCATTGCCATGATAATACCTCTCCTCTAGACTAAACAAATAACTAAGACTAATTTGTTTGAAATTATATAATAGCTGCTGAACACAAGATTGAATGCATATTTAGATTCACATAATTGACTAACACATTTGACAAACAATGGCTTCATTTGGTCATGCACTTAAGAAATCAATCGTATTTTCTTCAGGGATCCGGTGTCTTTGGATATAAGTGTACATGAACTTATTCCTCGCCTGTTCAAGCAAATATAGGCAATACTGGTCTGAAGTCTTGGTCAGAACTTATTCTGTGGCTGATGACCTTGAAAAAACTGGGAGTCCTATGGTTACGTAGACAAGATCCCTGTAATGCTGCTTTGGTACGGTGCAAGGTACAAAATTGGAAGACAGCACTACAGCAGCTTCACAACACAGGAATGCGTAGGACTCCTACATGTATGCATTATCGAACCTTGGTGAGAGTTTGGGTGAGCTTTTTATGCAGTGGTGTTTTCATGGCAATTTCACCACTAAGTTTAATTTTGCAAGTCTGATCTCTTCTTGTATTTGCGAGCCTTGATTGTGATGAATTGCAGATTTAAAAAATTTTGAATGCTTCAGTTTTTGAAACTTGGAGTAAGATGAAGTAATTATTTTTGCCAATGGCAGTATGGCACTTCTATCCATTTTCTTTAATGATTCCAAAACTTACAGAACATGCAGAAATGTTGAAACCTCATTCCTTGATAAAATGGTAGAACATAATTATACTTCAAAGGGAATGAATTCATGAAATGGTAAACTTTCTCACCACTCATGTCGAGTATAACATATTGCAGCTCAACTCATAACTTTTTCTCTTCTCTTCCTCATCATCTATGCATCTTGATTCTTGAGATCCTAAAACCCACCAAGCAACTCAAATATGAATCTCCTGACAAACGATGGATGATGTAAGTTGAACTCGAGACATGTTAAATGAACGATAATCTACTTTTTCCTCGAGTGATTCAAATTTTATCAAGGATACAAAAATGATGTATAGATGGTTGACCTTTCACATGAGTTGAACTTTTTGATACCAGATTGAAAGCTAAAAGACTAAACTGATGGTTAACTGCATTTTATGTTATATAGATGTATATATAATATTATGTTCAATAAGAATAAGATGAAGCATTTATTTTGACAATGGCTACTAACTTGTGGCCATATTCTTCAATGATTCCAAAACTTACAGAACATAATATTGAAACCTCATTCCTTGATTACAAGGTGAAAGATAGTTAAACTTCTTGCAGTTATTCTATGCTACATTATCATCCCTGCCTGCATTTTATCATACATTTTCATCTGATGCTGCATTCTCCATTGCAGTGGCCTTTGCCTTGCAGGTATGAAGAATGTAATTGCATGTGTTTACTGCTTCTGCAACTGTCAAATATATCCACTCTTTTCCAATTGACTCCATCAACTCTGACTTCTCAAGCTTCTTCATAACCTCCCCTCCAGGGTTTGCTAATACAAGCTAAATCACCATCAAGAAACAGACAAAATTATTACATGAATTTCAGAAAAAGTCAGATAGGGGGGGGGGGGGGGGGGGGGGTTTGAGCTGTACTATACCTTGAGATTTCTCCTGTCTAAATTTTTCTTCACTTCATCAAGCATGGTAATCCCGCTTGTATCAATGTTTCCAACAGCTGTGATTTGATTCCAACAACATTAGTAAAGCGTGCAGTTGGTGTTTGGTGAGACTGTCTTACGTAAGATGTTTAGTATTATGTGAGTCAGGAAGGAAATGGTAAACTTTCTCACCACTCATATCCAGGATGACATATTGCAGCTCAACCCCTCCCATATTGTTTCTCTTCTCTTCCTCATCATCTATCCATCTTGAGATCCTAAAACCCACCAAGCAACTCAAATGAGAATTGAACTCGAGACTTTATGATTATCAGTCGAGACATGTTAAGTGAACGATAATCGTACCTTTCCCTCAAGTAACTGGCATTTGCAAAGTATATGGGAGCCCCTATGTGGAGGACAAGGATCCCGGGCACGCTAGCCGCCTTCGGGTACTGATCGACACTTCTGTAAGTGATGGAATTGGGGATATTGCCCAAGATCATAGTCTTAGGCCTTGCAACAAACAAAAGCACCCTCAGAAGAGACAGCATCAACTGTTATATATCAAAAGCGCAGTTTTGTCAGTAAAGAAAACCGGAGAATTGAAGTAAATGCAGGCGGTTTTTGGTTGTCATACCGCGACAACCAGGCCGATTTGGATGCTGCCGAAGACCACGCCAATGTAGGCACTGATGCAGACGAGGAAGTCGAACTTGTCAAGCTTCCATAGATGGATGGCAGCTTCATAGTCAATGAGGCCAAGCATGGCTGTCATGATAATGGAGGATAGCACCACCAGAGGTGTGTAGTGGAAGAGTGGTGTGAGGAAGAGCAGTGTGATCATCACGGCCGTGGCCATTACTATGTTTGACACTGCTGTCTTGCATCCTGCATTGAAGTTCACTGCTGTCCTGGAAAATGGCCCTGAAACATATACTTAATTATAATCCAATCTCAAGATTCAAGCTTTGTGAATTAAGATAGTTTTCTTTGGATGCAAAAGGCGAAATCACTCATTTCGAGAGCCCACACTCTGGCCCTAGCTACAAGCTCTTTAGGTGGGAGGATTAGTACCTGGTACCCACAAGAGGTGAAACTCCCACATCGGAGGCCCAACAGGTCCCTTAATTAGGTGAGAGTATCAGAACCTGGTGTCCACAAAGATCCTCCCCCACAAGAGGGTGAAACTCTTACATCGAAGGCTCCAACACTCCGATTTTACATGCCCCTTAAGTGAGGGGACCAATACCTAGTGCCCACAAGGAGCTAGTCACCCTTGCAGGAGGGTAAATTAAAACTCCCACACTGCAACTGTCAGGCCCTGTGTCCTTGGATGCAATCTGTCGCCTAGGAACTAATTGAGCTAGGTACCCGTGAGGGCATTAGGATAGTTTTCTACCATTAGTATCAAACTAATGAAAAGAATAGTCGTCGCAACTAAGCTGATAATTAGACTACACAAATTATTAAGAAATGAAAAACGAAAGTATATATACCAGTGGTCAAGTAACAAGAAGTGCAAGAGCCAGCAATGTTCATGATCCCAAAGGCTATCATCTCTTTGTTGCCATCAATGTGATAGTTCTTGAACATGGCAAAGCTTCTGCCCACTGCAATTCCTTCCTGGATTTCCCACAATCAAACACTCTATTACCAACAATCCTAAAAAAATTCTCTCTACTTTTAGGCAACATACCCAAAAGACAAGTTTATTATATCAACAAAAAAAGGAATTTTGGTACCATGCAATAATCTCAACTAACTGTCAATATGGTCATGATGGAAAAGACAAGTTTATCTGACTAGGTTAGGTTGCAGCTTCATTATTGGGCTTGGAGGCATACAAAGATTGCAGTAGGACATGATAGGGTAGGGTAGAAAGTGGCATAAAAAGATAAAGATGATATATGATCGATGCAATATAGTGTAGTGCAAATTGCAAATGATGATAACTTACAGCCAGAGCAATGATACCCGTGACCACTCCTGTCTTAATGGCGGTGGCGAGGTAGGGCGACCCAAATGCCAGTTCAGAAGATGATGGTGGATTTAGCCCTTTCTTCAAGTGCCCAATCTTCAAAACAAACACACAATTTGTTATAAGTTTCAGGATAATCTTCCCACTTGGGTATTCTTGTTTTTTTTTTTTTTTTTTTTTTTTTTTTTTTGTGTGTGTGTGTGTGTCTATTGTGGATTGTGTGCTTTACAAAGTGGTTTTAATTTATGAAAAAGTCAATACATAGCTGCTACCCAACCGTAAGAGGTAAGTCAGTTTAGATTGGCCAAAGTTGAACCGCTCAAATCAAGAAAGTTAATAGACAACCTCCACAAAAAATCAAACTTGAAACTTTGTGATTACAAAGTCAATTATCAGACCAACTTGACTGGAGTTGCTGTATACTTCTTATTTTGTCGAATTATATAGGAAGGAAGTATAACTTGTAAAGCACCATATATAACTTTACGTATTACATGACATTTTAATCCACGACTTTGTAAACTTTATCATTGTGTAAAATTATATTCTTTTTTGGGTGAAGATAGGGGGTTTAATTACCACTTGGACTCCATGTTTTTCAGCATGGGTGAAATAGACCAAGACACTTCCAAGGATGACGGACGTTAGTGGTGCCATGGCATTTATCCAGAAGAAAGCTGGTTTCTTTTTGCTCTGTTAAATAAGTCGTCACGGAAAACAATTACGTTAAATAGTGTCTCCATAAACTGGACAGAAAATATACTAATATTGTTGTAATTATTATTATTATATTTATATTCATAAATGGTGTAGTCCACTTACAAAGTATTTGGTCAGCAAGAGGAAGAAGAGAAAACAGCAACCTAGTACTCCACTTTCCCATCTCCACTGCACAGTTTAACATCATTATTTAGTATTAAACAAATTAAACGATAAAACATGAAAGTGAGAAACAGCATGTAATTAAGGAGACAAAAGATAGATCAGAGGATTAAGAGATATATGGGGAAAAGGAAATTAAGAAGATGAGATGATGATAAGGAACCTGATGTGTTTGGGTAAAAATAGATCGCATGACAGACACTAAGTCAGTGCCATGTGTAAAATGAACCAGTCCAAGAATTCCTTTCAGTTGTTGCAGGCACACCACTGTGGCTGCTCCTCCCATGAACCCCAATATGGTTGCATGCGACAGAAAGTCCACAATCAATCCCAGCCTGGAAAAACATTATGTGTACAAACATTTTTCACTTATTTCCTCATCAAATATAATCCTCGGCAACCGTGCCCCTTGCACCAGATATAACCCAAGAATAATGTCAATTTGTATTAGGTAAACATACAAACAAACATTTTCTTGTTTTTATTGTTGTTGTTGTGCTAACACTTTGATTCAGTTACCCAAAGGGTCACAATGTAAACTAGTCCAGTTAAGGTTGTCCATTGACCAGTTAAAATAAAAAAGGTTAATAGGGACAGTCTTTGTATGATAATCAAACAAACTGTCCAACTAACTTGACTAATGTTACCCTTAAGCTGATAATTGTATTCATAATTTCTAATACAATCAGACATGCTTTTTGAATTCACATGATGTCAATCAACACCTTAGACTTTTTCACCAATAATTCATTAGTAAGACAAATAATAACGTAACCAATTATTCCATTTGTTCCTCCGATCCAAAGATTTAATTTTTTTTTTTTTTTTGTTTCACATTTTGCAGAACCTGTGACTACTGAGAATATAGTAATGTTGACTACTCGTGCATGTTAGCATGTAGACAGCAGGCGAGAGCAATTATATATTTTACTATATTTTGTTGTTCAAATCTTATATATGGAAAACTTAATTACCTTAAAAAGCCTAAAGAAGCTTGAAAAAGTCCGGCGAAGAAAGTTGCAGTGAGGACTAGTTGAACGTAGAGGGTGGGGTTCTGCTTAGGGTTCACTTCTTGTCCGATCATGGCCGCCATGAGAAGGGACGGGACAGCCACCGTGCCGATGGCCAAATCTTTTGAGCTTCCGAGCATGGCGTACACCAATGGCGGCACGAAGCTCGAATCTGCGGGCGTTTAATGTTTAAGAATTAAGACAGAATCATCAAAAGGTGTACAACGTTAACGACGTAGGGTGCATGTGTTATGTTAGTAAATTGCGGCTGCTGGTTCTTACATAATCCGATGACGGGAGGAAGGCTGGCTAGGCCGGCGTAGCTTATCCCCTGAGGGACGGCGAGGCTGGCGATGGTGATTCCGGCGACGACGTCGGCCTTGAAGGACTGGAAAGTGTAGCGCGGCGCCCAGTCGAGGATGGGGACGAAGTACTGCATCCCCAGTACGAATTTTCTGGGGAGCGGCTGGTTCTTGAACTGCCGGAATGGGTCGTCCGGGAAGAGGGTTTCTTTCACGGTGGATTTCACCACCTCGTAGAACGGCTTCGGAGGCGGCGCTTCCACTTCCCCGCGGCGCTGCTGCCACTCATAATCGCCATTTCCGCCCATACTGTTTTCTGTAACTCGAATGGTCAACCAGTTAAGCTGTGTCTCAAGAAAAATGGTCAATCAGCTGAGCTCAGCTGCTGTGTCTGTCTCAAAGAGAATGGTCAACCAGTTAAACTGTGTCTCGAGAGGAGTGGGTTTAGGTTCTTGAAATGGTTGAAGTTGGAGTGTATGAGAGGTGAGGATTTTTGGTATGAAAGCTGCAAATTAAAGAGCAATGGGATCTTTGTTGTGTGATCTTTGTTTTTGATTGATTTTCTTGGTAGTGAGCATTGAGGAACAGCCTGCAGATGTATATATATAGTAACATGAAGGGTGGTATAATGTGGGATGGTCAGTGGGCCCCTCTTGCTGCTAGACAATTTGGTTGTGGGATGAGATCACATCAACTGTCATTAGCTATTTTAATTTTGATATTAATTTCTGTATGTATATATCTATATGACATATACATATTTTTATCATTTCACCACTGCAGGAGTACAGTGGAGGTGTATTCAATTTGAGAATTTAATTGCATTAGAAGTTTATTTATCAATTGTTTCAAATTATTATTATTAGGGATTATGTTATTCGATCCTCTAGCAAATACCGATCATACTTGGATGGTAGACTTTGTTCACCTTCTAATCACTTACGACTTGAAAGAAGAAAAATGTGATCAGCTTGTAATTGGACTCTTATTTATAAAGCGACCCAGCTAAATAACTGACTAACGCCGACTATAACCGACCACATCGCATGTTAGGCACGTCAGTTGTATGTTGATTCACCATCCAATCAAGTAGCCATTATAGGTACGCTTGGCATCATCGCAAACTAGATCACTTGATACACAAAAGATACTTGTAAGTCATGTCGGAAGTTCGATCTGTCCTATTGAAATCCTCTATAAAAGGCTCATTAAATGCACTAGTAAGAGGGGAAGAGATCAGAGTTCGACGCACTATGAGTGCTATATTGAGTTCTCAATCTTTTATATGTACTTAGGAATTAATATTATCAATTATATTAAATCACTATTTTGGTGGAGGAATCAAAATCAAACATAACATATTTGAGACGATGTTTATTTATTCTATTTTAACAAATCAAAATCAAACTAAAATTTCATTATTTTCATAACAATGAACTCTCATCTTACTTTTGTGACATTCGACCAAATCCCATCATTTTTGTTCATTTCTTATTCATTTTAATAAGTAATGAATTAATGATGTCGATTTCATTTCCTATATCAAATAAACATGTTTGTAGAAATGTCAATCTAATTTGAAATCAATAAATTGGTCAAAAAATTAGTAAAGGTGGATTGAAAAAATTAATACCCATTCATTAAAATTCAACCAAATAAACCTATGGCATATATAAACAAACTAACTCAAAATTAAATGGACTGTTCCAATTGACATCTTTAACTGAAGCAAGATAATGAAATTGAAGTTTGAAGAATCAAATTTTGGGGAAAACAATATGCCATTGCACAACATGTTTAAATTCATGAATTTTTAAATTCTTAATAGTTAATTCACAAAATTCGTTTAAATTCATGAATTTTCAAATTCTTAATAGTTCATTCACAAAATTCAAATTTATAAGATTGTTCCTCAAAATGAATGACCAAATGATTGGTGAATATTTCTCTTGTTAACACATTTTTAGTCGAATTTATGTGATATATTTACTTTGTTTATATGACTTACGCGCTATTAAATAAGGATAGGGTATTTTAATGCACACTCTAACATTAAATATACTTCGTCACTAAATTTTTTCTAGGAAAATTTGAATTCTTTTTAATTAAATCACGAGATGAATATGGAACATGAATAAAGTCATGAAGAGAATGATAAATAGTGAAATGATATTTGTAATTTATATACAACACGTTTTGGAGGACGGTATAATGATCAAAAGGAAAGAAATAGATGGACACGTGGCGCGTAGTCAACGGGTTAACTACTTTGGTCAACAATGGTCTTCTACACCTCACTGATGTCCCCAACGGCCTACCGCGTTTTTGCACTAAACGTGGGCCCACGCAAACATATGCCTACGTGGGCAAAATTTATTGGGTGCAATCCAATCGAACAACACGTAGTAGGCGAAGGAATAGGATCCTACGGCGAAGGTGGGGGAATGTTACGCCTGATATTTTTTGCACATAATAATAAATAAAACCTTATAAAACCGAATCATACCAATAATATCAACCATCAAAAGTGACCATAAATCACACTAAAAAGATTCTATGTAACATGCTTAATTAGGAGAATGTTGACAATAATTAAACTCGTATCATTTATTTTGAGAATCATGTCTTATTTACTCAGTCACCTCTTCAGATCACGATGAGAAATTTTATTAATCTAGTATCTGAGCGTATTATTTTGTCATATTTTAATATATTACTCCGTCATTCTTATTGAACTCAAGTATTGATTGAATATTAGTTGGAGAGATTCTCACAACACATGTTTCATGCATAAAATTTGAACCCCTATATCTTATATAAGAAAATTTAGCAATTGAGATTCAGTGAGATTTTCAAAAGATTAACAATATGTCAAATATTTTAAAATATATTTGATTGATTTAAAAAGTTATTGAACTAATTCAATCAAATTAATTATAAAAAATTAAAAGCAAACATACTAGTAAAAATGATATTAACATAGTAGCGGACTGTCTGACTAGACGTACATGCGATCAAGAAATGATTGTGAATGAATTGAGTTCGAAAGGCCTCTTTACGATATCCTTGAGAACCTCGTGAAAGATCGGAGCACTCTAAGAACAGGAAGCTAACCCAGTCTTCGGGATAATCCCTCCCTCATTTCCAAAATAAAAATGATATTAACTCTAGCAACTATATTTCAATTTACTGTGATTAAGATTGATCTCAACTACAGTTGGTAGGCTAAATAAGCAATACTTTAAACTTCAATTTAGTTGGATTAAGAGTGATACCAATAATAATAGCTATTAATTAAGCAATACTTTTAAACTTTTGGCCGACAAAAAGTAAATCGGCTCCAACCTTTTGCCAGCCAATTGTGCATATAAAGATTAAATAAATTGTAGCATCAAACCTAACAATCTGGATTTTTGGAAGATTGAGGAATAACAACTATGTAATGTTCCTACCAACAGGGTGCAAATTAAACCACTTGTGTTGTAATCCTACTAAATCTTAATATAATAATAATCACTTGACAGGAGTGTAAGTTGGGAATTCATACTATTCATCCCAACTTGTTTGGGAATATAATTGAGATATCTCTAAATGTGCACCCTGTGTTAAGGTCGTATTGTAATCCTAGATTCCTAGCCAGCAAATTAAAAGACTATAATGAGGTAAACTGAATTAGGTTATCCATAGTTAACTAGTCCAAACTAAGAAGCTAAGGAAAATAAACCTCCTATAAGAAGTCGAATTTGGAACTTTATGATTATTAATTGAACTAACTAACCAACTCGATCGGCTGAAAGTTACCACCGAATCTCATTTACTTGCGGGCACTCATATATCATAGTACACATAAGCGAATTAAACTACTCGTAGAAATGTTTGGATTCGATTAAGTTTTTGTCATTCAATCACGAACTCAACGAATAATAAGTCATATCGAATTTGAATAACTTAATATTCAATTCAAATGGCTTACAAGCATTATCTAGTGATTTTTCAGTTTTTTTTTTTTATATTTAGTATAAATGGATGATTACAAATTTAATTTATATATGTATATAGTCTACTTAAAAATGAACAAATGGCTTCCCAATTGAGCTTATTCAAGCTGAACTTAAGCTCAAATTGGGTTTTATAAGATCGCAATTTCAAAATCTCTATGATGTAGATGCCTCACTAATATAATTTATATAGTATCCAATTGGAACATTATAATATGATCCTCACTGGTATGCTTTTCTTATTGGATAATAGTATTGCTCAAACCTTGATGCTTAATTGGTAACTGTCTTCTCGTGACACACTAATCTTTTAACGAGAATACAAATGATAGGTATTTGTTTGGCGATGGCTGGGTTGACCGAGTTCAGCACCTACTCGATACGAGACATGATGATGTGGCTTACCATGGAGGGATGTGGTTAAATGATTAATATCCATCCTATTTATCACTAATAAGTTTTTAAATATGATATGACAAACAGATAGTCAAAAAACTTTGTGATTAGGCATGCTTGACTTACATCAGTCACATGATGAGTGGCCCCTTACGAAATATAGTACAACACGTTAAATTTTTATTTTTATTAAAAAAAAGCCTACATCTCAAAAGACTAGTTTAATGGGTGGGGGAACTGAAAAACAACTCCAATTTTAGTGAAAAGTGATCTTATGCGGAACTGATGTGAGAGGTGAAAAAATATTGTTAAACATAAAATATAAATATTGTATGGTTCTGAAATTATTTTATATAATAATAAACATTGTTATAAACTATGATTCTTATCTACAACATAACTACCTATAAATTTTCTTGCCCACTCCTTTAAATTTTCTTAGATGTAGACATAGATTATTATTTAGTTCATTTTGGATTTAAAAAACATAAAAATTAATCTAATTCTTCAAAATCCACTTTTTAGGGATAATTAATAGCTGCTGCTGGTGCTGCAATAATTCATCAATAATGCCTCCAAGATCCATTGAATCTTTTAAAGCGAACCATTGAAAGTTACTACCACATTTCCACATTGTTCTAAGTGAAATGATGAATTTTTATGTCATTACAATCCCAAGGATATTATTTGTTATTATAACATTATTATTGTACTGATCTATAGATATAGTGTCAATTGGAGATAAGCATTCACATAAAGTCATGTAATCCCTAAGTTAAAACGCAACTTGAATTTCAAATCTCATTCAAAATTAATCATGGCATATTAATTAAATATTCAACACATCACCCAAACATATGTACTAGTATAGCCTGATAACTCAAGCTAGCTTTGGTCATCTTTACATTTTTCTTGATTATTGTGGTTAGAAAACTGATCATGGTGTCTGGATATTCGTCAATTAAACAGGTTAGTTAAACTACCACTGCTTTAACCATCACATCGACAATCAACACATGTCACAGTCAGTCTGAGCACACATCTGAGAGTTGCCACGTTAGCCGACTTTCAGTATGTGTTCCCTATTCCATCACCATAAATAAATTTCCTTATTTCTCAACAAGCACAACTTCTTACTAAAAACACTCTATTTACATCCAATTACGCTATAAGCTAGCTACGAATTTTCATACTGCACCTCAAATTCGAGAATCCCCACATGCCCTTTGATGGATATATTATGACTAGAGTAAATCAACCTGGGAAACGGAGCAGGAAAGTGGATTCATACCAGGATCAAGACACCCTTGACCCAAGACACCTCTACGTTCTTAATCGGGTTTAATAATTCGAATCCACCCCAGGTAATTAAATCCATCACCCTTATCTTAGACATACTTTCAAAGTCTAAGCGCATGAGTAAATTATGGAATGTGGAGGTAGGTTGTAAACTTGCACACGTACATCGGCGGCCAGTTGATAGTGTTTTAGTGGGATTGACATATCCACATCTACATAGGGGCTTTTGAAACAGGCTCTGATCTGAGTTTGAATTGTGACATAAAGTAACTGTAACAACTCCCACTAAACATGATGTATTATTGAGAATATTAATGATGCTGCAACAGAAACCATGGAACAAACGTAATAATTAGTAGGAAGACAGCGCATGTGGAGGGAATCATTTAGCAGAAATGGGAAGAACTGTTGAGGTATCACTGCATCAAGATATAGATGGAGAGGTCTGAGAGAATGGGCATGCCTATTATGGCGGTACGTACAAATGGAATGGGACACCCATTTTGTGTGGTTTAGGTCTTACGTACCACCACCGCCCAACCACACCAAACCACAATCTTGGACTAACCAAAATGTAATAAGGCGTTGAGGAATACATCCGCCTTCAATGTTGCACTTATTACAACATTCACAACTCATTCTAAGTTAGATTCTTTTTGAGAGTTGGATTCTGCTGATGTAATTCAAGTTGAATTTATATTAAATGGATTGTTTTAAAATTGTTGCTCCATTTGCAAGATACCTGTTCAGAAAAGACGAAATTTCTGATCTTAAGGACTCTCACATCTCGACCCAACAAAATTGTGGAGTATTAAATAACGATGATCGACCCATTAAGTGTGGTGGTTAGTCCCTGATGTTCAAAGAGCCACCCTACAAGAAGGTGAAACTCTCACAATGCAACTGTTATGACTCCATCTTGCATTTTTGCCTACCATCTACCCCTCCATTTGCAAAATACGGAGAACTTTGTCATAGGAGAGTGAATGGATGTTTGGTTTTAGTGTTTTAATTTTGGAGTGAGATTAGCCTCCCCAATATTCTTATGGCAATATACTATGGACTATTAGTATGCAGGCACATTGTCTCATGAATAGTGGAGTTAGAAAATAAACATATCCAATGAAATCTACTTTGTGAATTTAGTCAATAAAGTAACACTAAAAGATAAGCTCAAATCAAGAAGATAAATAATTAGCTTGGTTGGCGTGAGTGGCGGTGCACTCTTGTCTTTTAAGAGAAGTCGAGAGTTTAAACTCCTCTCGTATAGAAAAATCAATTTGGTCAGTATTTTGTCCATTAATTGGACTGGCTCGGTACGAACGATGATTAATCTGGTATGAGGTCTGACAAAAAAAAAATAAATAAATAAATAGACAGTTCTCAATTACTCGATCAACTCAATTGGGTGTTATCTCGAATTAAAGTGTATGTATATACAGATTGAATGGCGAATCACTCATAATCTCACAAGATCAGATTTCCAGAGAACCTTAACGTGTTGTTCTTTGCTAACATTGTAGACCCTACCCAACTCAACTTTGTGTAGTTATCTCTTATTTCTTCTCGTTTCATTCTCTGGTTGTACCCAAAAAAATCTTCATATAAAATTAAAGTTGATACGATAGATTGTGTTACATGGTCCTATGAATAAAGCCCAGCAGATGCACAAACTCTGCTTTTTGGAGGTGTTGACATTCTAGAAGCATGGACCGCCACATATCGTCAGCCGTCAGGTCGCCACCGTTGACTGAATCATTTCTCTGCATCAATCAAAATCAACGGTGAACATTATTTCATCCATTCACAACATCATCGTACTGGGTTGATGCCCTCCACTGAGATTGCCAAACTTCACATCTTATCTCCTACATGTGAGAAACATGCTTTCTGATATCTCCATGAGTACAATGTAGACTAAAAGATGGGCGATCCAGCTAAATTAATCAGATTGTTAATTTTGTAATTACAAAATTATAAATTTGATATTTAAAGAGAGCGATCTATTAGTCTTCTTAGTTTAAGCTAATAAGATTGATTTACTTTCTTTGTGGTCCTTTGACAGCTAGAATGACAAGATATGTTTATCAAATACATACTCTTAAATAGTAATTATAGATTCTACTTGTTGAATATCCCGAATAGGGTACCCAATCGGGTAGCCAGGCAGGTGGTTGGCAGCCGGGGAGGCCGAAGAACTACGGGGGCTAGGATTTAGGGCAAATTTCCCTCTTTCACATTAGGAAAGGGATCTCATAACTTAGGAAATAAGAACCAACATGGTTTAGTTAGGTTTCTTAAACTCAAATTTGTTAAACTTTTCCTTCCTCGATATAACTTGAGCATGTATAAATATCCCTGGAGTCACAGTGTAAGGGATCCAACTCTCAATTCTTACAACAATAATACCACCTCTCGCTCGTTATTGCCTACCCGCCTACCGATTACCGTGAAACCAACACTACTCATTTCAAAAAATTATAGGTCTTCTACCTTTGGTAAGTTTAGTTTATTTGACCACTATTAACTGTTTGACTTGGTTAAACATTCAATATGAGTGTTTGATTAATTAGTTTTTTATAACAGCTTATTGTTCTAAAATGTTGAAATTCAAAAAGCTGCTCAACAATCCATTTTTGAAAAAATCATTTTATATGTAATTAACTATCAGCTAATAACTAATTTACTAAACATTTTCTACCATCAAAATGTTATCAACTAATCAAACCTACTAACCTGAAGAGCTTACCAAACACCCCATAGACTAAAAAGATTCTTTAAAAAGTCGAATGTTTGGATAAGTTCTGCTTACAAGCTTTACTACACAACAAGCAGTTTAGAAAAAGAAGAGGGCCTATGAACAAACTTGTTACACTTCATCATCATCATCATCAACAACAAAAAACACAGTCAAATTTAAGAAACCAGAACCCAAACTTAAAGAACGATCAAACGTTTGAAACTAAAGCGACCAAACTGTCACAAATCAGTTCAGGAGTTGCACTTCCTTCCTTGCTTCTTTATTTCCTGATTAGTTAGTACCTATTTCCCTGCACCTGCATGGAAACAGATCGAAAATGAATCCACAAATCAATACCTTAATTCCTGCAAAAACATGGGAGAACACAAATGCTTACATCGAATCCGACCACCGGTCTGCAGTACATTGTGTTGGTCGTAAGAACACTGCAAGTGGAGCCGCACTCGCTGTCCTTGAGCGAGATGTTTGATCTGTCGAGCTTGATCGACCATGGATACTGGTAGTTCTGCGCGGCGGAGGAAACGTGGGAGGATGAGCGCTGCATTCTGACGGCGCGTGGCACGTTTCTTCCCTCGATGGACGGGCGGCGGCGGCTGGGCTGCCGCTCGAAGGTCTCCGGGCGCTGTTTGGGGGCGCTGTGGGAGCGGACTTTGGCCTGGGAGGATTTTGTGTTGGCCATGTAGCTTGGGTAGAATGGGTAGTCGGTGTAAATGGAGTCTGAGTACTCCGATCGGGCGTAGGGGACGGGGATTCTTGGCGGGTCGGGTTTGGCCATGGCGGAGGAGGAGTAGCATTGTGGGCTGCTTTGTGCGGTGTTGAAAGAGTAGTCTTCGAAATGGCCGCTGTAGGCTCTTGGGCTCTGGTCCGTCGCGGCCGACGGCGCCGGGGAGATTTGTGGAGTTTCTTGCTTGGAATACGAGGAGGGATTGTACGATGAAAATCTGTGCTCTGTTTGCCCATGATTGGAATAACTGTTTCGGCTTTTCATGCTCCCCTCCTTTGAATCTCCCAGATCCATCTCCACAATCTTGATGTTCTCCTCCATTCCTCTTTCATAATCCTACACCCAAATTTGCAACATTCATGCTATGATTCTGAATTTCTACCATAGATTGTGCACTAATACATAAATCTGGTCACAAGAAGGTAAATTAGTCTAGGTAGATTGTTCATAGCTGACCAGTTTAAATTAAGAAGGCCAATAAGCTGACAATAAAGATAACTGACAAGTTCAAATCAAGAAGACCAATAGACTGTTCGTACTTGTAATTGTAATTATACAGCTAACAGTATGACCTACTTGGCTGTGTGATTTTGAATTTTTGGTACCATTTTTTGTGGTTTGAAGGAAATTGTTGCAGGGGAGATGAGATAGAGACATACTTTGAATGAGTGGCGGAATCTGCTGTGAACTGATAGCCTTTGATTGGTGGGTTTTTCTTGATCTTCCGCCATTTTTAGCCGCTGGGCTCGAGCTCTAGCCTGCGCTGTTATGAGTGCCTGCATGCATCTCAGTGTTGCGGCTGCCTGTTTCCTCACCAAATGTCCCCTCACCAGTGCCTGCAATTTCACTAGCCCTTTCAAAGCATTCAACGCTTTTCTAGCCTGCAAATCAACAAAATTCAAAAATTGAAGGATGTGTTCTTGAAACTAAAAAGTTTAAATTAATACTGGATGGATATTGAGGAATTGTGTACCAAGTAACCCCGGAAAACTGCCTGAATTTTAGTGGCGGCAGCCTCGGAGGCTCTGCCGCCGATGGAAGCAGCCGCGGTGAGTTGGATCACGGCGGCGGCTGCCTTGGCAGCCGCCGCCGCAGCGTCGGCAGCGGCGGCGGTGGCCGCCGCCACCGCCAAGGCGTGCTTTTTCTGGTCATGATCTGATGATTCCAACGCGTCTTGTTTGGCATTGGGAGTGGTGGCAGTGCTTTCCGGAGCAGAACTGAACAATTCTCGCTGCCCCGGCGCGGTGGCCGACGACCGCCGGAAGCTCCACCGCTTCTTCTCTCTGGGAGTGACGGAAACCGGCGTTGTAGGCTGCTCATTCCCACCACCTCCATAGACGATCACCTTCTCCTTCTCCTTCTTCCCACTCAAGAAATTCTTTATCCATTTCCCAGTTTTCCCCATCTCTTCTTAACCCGCGGATTCTTGATGAGACAGATTCATAGAAAGCAACCAATGATGTTCTTCCGATCTCCCCTTTTCTCCCTTCTTTTGTCACTATCTCCCCTCAAGATAATGATAATCCATCCATCATAATTGTTGCCTTATTAAATGAAAGAAACCAGATCACCACCACCTTAATTACCTCAAAAAACAATTTCTTTTTCTTTTGACAGACACATACATTCACTGTTCCATTGTCTCGTCCACATGCTCTGCTGTAATTACCAATCATGGTATTCCATCAATGATGTCATGGGGGAAGAGAAGCTGATAGGAAACTCCCAAAACCAAACCAATTGCCTAGTCCTATGGCCTATCCCTCTGGGGGTGGTTATAATGGAATTTGTTCTTTACCTAATTCTGGGGTGATTCTTTTTGCCCTTTTCTTGATTATATATGTAGGATGCGATAATGACGGCTGTTATAAACTGAGTCTAATTAAGAATTAAGTATTTTAGATTCACTAAAATCATGTTATGTCTTGATGTTTAACTTGATAACTGATAACTCTCTGCTTTGGTATAGTATGTTTAGCTTTTTTATGTTTGTATCTTAAACCTGAAAATCTATACTTGTCCTTACACTATAATCTTGGTGGATGAGTAAATTGTGTTCTTTTAAGTTGTTAATTTCACTCTGATTAGTTGACTAGTTGAATTGTATTCTGAAAGTTTTGGTTTTGTTTTTTTGAGTGAAGGGTTCAGAGGGCATGTGAAAATGGGTCAAGGGAACATGCAAAATCCGTGTAAAATAGTGGTGCAAAGATGGGAAGTGTTCCCCCACTGGCAATTGAAGGTGTATTATTTTATATAAGTGGGTGGGGGGGGGGGTTTGGGTTCTTGAGGGGCAGTTGTGGGGCCAAAGTAATGAGATTAATGTAGATGTACCCATTGGAAGGGGTGCCCTATTGAATCTAGCACATGGACATGGTCTTTATCTCCAGCTGTAGGGAACCCTCTCTCTTCATTGTCCCTTCTTTATCCTCTGCTGCTTGATCCAATGCAAAGTCACATTGAATTGGATTCCAACACCCTGGAAACAAGTTATCTATCACCTTCTTATATTCCCACAAGTCTCCATCATACTAAGGTGTAAGTGTCATTGTTGAAAAGTTTTAATGGTGCTCACTCTAGCTTTCTGCACACTGCTGGAAATTATAGAATTTTCGACCGCCTGAATGTGTCAAGTTGAAAGTAAAAAGTAGTCAGAAATAGCAACAAAGGTTTTTTTCGATACCAAAAGTGGTCAGAACAAGGCTTTTCCAGCGGTGACGGGAGCTGGCCCAATGAAAATTGTTACTTGTGAGAATCAAATCCAGATTATCTCGAAATTCTCCCCTACAAAGAGAGTTCATTTGTCACTTGAGCTACCCCGTCGAGTTTTTCTGCACAACCTAGCTAGTAGCTACCCACTTATGCCTCTTTCCCGGAACACATGTTCCACACCCTCCCTTTCCTCTTACACAACGCAAACACATGATGACAAGTTGAACATAACATGTTTAGATTGAAAGATGTGGTCAAACGTGAGGAGCAAAAGGCCGGGATAAAAAGGCCATGAAAAAACCAGTCCTAGAAGGCTACAAACACAAGAGGAAAGCTTCCGTCGACAATGGAACGTGTTACCTCCATTCTGCCCCACCATCAAAGACAAAATCAATCAATTTTCTAATAATCCTTTTTAACGTTTGTTAGTGACTTAGTGCAGTCTGATGATCAGTTCCTAGTAGCTACAAAGATGCGAGGTCCCACGCAATTTCTTGCACCAGTGTGTGATAATTTTAGATCAGAGAGGCTGGACAGCAGTCATACGTCGGTGAACAAACGGACAATTAATGTGTATAGTGATGTTATCCTAATTCGTTAAATAGGTTTTAACTAGGTTTTTAGATCGACTCTTAGTAGAAGTGGTTTATTCGTTTTATTGATTTGAGCCAATCAGTTAAGTTTGTTTACTTTGGTTGTCCTTTGTCGGCTAGAGTCACCAGGTATAAATTATCCTGTGTATACCTTGATTTCTCTCTCGTCAATTATTTAATGGCTAGAGTCACAAGTTAAGGTAGGAATACAAAAAACAGTATTATACTATTATTGAAGACATTAATTATTAATTACAGTGCATTAACAAGAAAGTTTGGAGCAGAATACTTGGATTTTTCAACAGTCAACTCAACTTTTGTAGTTTTGTTTCAATAATTTGCAGTTGTTGTGTCTTCATGCAAACAGGCCTACGTGAACAAGATCATGTGGGAACCAAAGCGTACCATTCTTTTGACATTCTTCTCCCAAAATACGGAGTAATATTTTTTGTATTCAGATCAAAGATTGATATATATATCTTATATTATAACTTTATCGATTTAGCTAATTTAGTACCAAATTTTACAAGTTCAATCTTTGAAAATTACTCATTGGCTTTTTCAGTTTGAAAATTACAAATACTTTGGTTTATAATAAAAGTTTGTATTATTTGGTTTAAGTAGTCAACCACATGCATAATTAATAAAAAATAATAATCTGTGCATGTGTATATGAAATGGTTGGGGGGAGGCAATATTTTTGTGCGTGGCTACAACGTTCAACGCACATGCCTTGTTTCTCTTCATTATATTATAAATAATTAAAATTTTGTTTCTCTCCCTTGGCTTGTATTATTGTATGTTGAATAATCAACTTGGCTACAGACTACCATGCGCAAAGTAATATTATTATATATCTGCACGAGTTTAGCTTAATAATTCAGTAAACAATATTTATAAAAAGAAATTAAGGTTCGAACTTTAATATTTAGGATTAAGTCTATGCATCAATCTCAATGGATATTTTAACTTTTCTGTACTTACATATACTTTCTAAGTTTTAATTAGTCCTATATTAATTAATTTAAGAGGAAACAACATTTTGACACCTGAATTGTTTAATTTTTAAAATTTTGGTCATTGTTAGTTAATTTAAACAAATTTAGTTCTTTAATTGTGCAGTATATTACAATTTTAATTCCTAATATTTTGTCATTACCAAACTCCACTAGCGCAGACTATTTTTATGAGATTATTTTTGTTATTTAGAGTCAATATCCACAATTAAAGTCGCATTCTCTCCCTGTAAACACCATCTTTTATAGTAGATATTGATTTATATCTAAATGACAAAAATAACCCCATATGTTAATAGAGTTTGATAATTATAAAACACCAAATCACTAATGACTAAAAGTGCAACGTTACGAACATTTGGCTCGATGGCGTAAGAACGTTAGCCTATGGGCATGGTGTGTGTAACTGTATATAAAGTTGCCTATACTTGCATCAATTTATGACTTTCCAATCAATTTATTTACAAAAATAAACAAATCATGACCATGAAAAATGATAATGTAGCAGGTTCAATTGTCATCCACTATGAAACTAATTCAAATGTTATCTCACTATAATTAAGAATTCAAACAAAAATAATTAAAAAAAACACACACACACACACAAACACATAGAATTCGAGAATAATTTGATTTAGAAAATGTACTAAAATATATTGGCATTGGATTGGATGGTATGTTGCTATTGCTTTGCATTTAAGGATTATTAACAGTTAGAAATGGTAGTTGGGAGGACAATAGAGCTTAAAGCAGCATTCAATCAACAATTAACTGTATCGCAATTATAGTTTCTTGTGCTAATTTAAGGAGCATTTATTATTTAGAAAACATTATGGTTATGTGGGTGATAGAAGAAACTCACAACTTCTATTTGAACCCTATGCTACAAACTTGACTAAAAGACTATTGGTAAGAATAAAAATTATGACATTTTTATATGAGAATCATGCATGCTTCATCACTCAGTTTCCTCGTTCGAGAAAATAATATTTTTTTGTTCCTTAATTATACATGTTTCACTTTTCATTATTTAAGTGTCGTGAAGTGAGTATATTTTTACTTTGAAATTTAAGGGCTTGGTTACTTTATTTACAACCAAAAAAAAAAAACACTTTGCAAACATTTAATAGATGAAAAACGAAACCAATATAATTGAGAGATAAAAAAAAAATTATTTTCCTATAATTCAAGAAAAAACAAAGGTGACATTTTCTCTTTTCTTTTAGGTTAAAAAAGACAACACGAAACAATATAATTTTTACGATCTGAGACGTTACGCCAAAAATATTACAGTATAAAACTACTCTTTCATTATTGATTTATGTTAAATTAATTAAATGACCCGCACATTTATTCTTTCTTGTAATGTATGTGACATTCCTCTCCTTTAAAAGTCCAAATACTTCTTGCAGCCCAAAATTTCCCAGTACAATTATAAACTAATCTACAGTGGAACTATCTCATAAAGCCCAGCACACACACTTTCAATCGTTATGCTATGAGCATGTGCTCACCTTGCATGGTGCACACAAATCTATATCCATTATTTTTATATTATAAATTCATAATTTTATACTGTATATTTATAATTTTTAGATTTTCGGTGAGCTAAAATTTATACTTCAGATTCAAAATTTCTAACCACGAATCTATATCCATAATTTCTATACTGTAAATCCATAATTTTTATACTGTATATCCATAATTTCGAAATTTTCAGTGAGCTAAAATTTATACTTTAGATTCATAATTTTAACTCACTGAGAGTCTAAAAATTTATAAATATACAATATAAAAATTATGGATATAGATTCATGTGCATGGTGAGCACGTGCTCACAGCATAATTTGCCACACTTTTCTAGGGAATTGTGTACAATCCCCATCGCTTTATTGGTTGATAACACATTAACACGACCAACAACACCCACTTTTTTTTTTTTTTTTTCGAAGAGACATCACCCACATTTTTTTTTGAAGAGACAACACCCACTTTTTAAAAAGCATTTTTTTCACAAATTAATTCACAATTTGTTTTTTATAAAAAATAAATAAAAATCGCAGTGACTATCAATAATGCGTATTAGATAAGCTCTAGATGGTAGTCATACATAATAATAGTTTAAAAGTTATACATGAGATATAAATCACATTAAAAAGATTTGTGTGACTTAATCAAAAAAATATTAATAAAAACCAAACTCATAATAGATACTGGTTTAAATGCAGACAGTGCTTTCCGTACAACCAGTAAGTATGCAAAAATACACCACACAATATTTAAAAATTTAACATAATGAAATGCATTAATGCATCACACACCAAAAAATGTATCATGTCGTATCACATTTAATTGTACATTTCTGATGAATGACCTCACAAGTCACAACTATACAAGAAGCACTGTCCGCACAGAAAATTGATCTACTCGTAATATTTATGTACAACCGTCCACCTTTTTGAAGCAATTAATGGACAGTTTGATATACATCGAAGGATGATATAATTGCATGTATCTTTCCAAGGAAATTAGGCTACTGTTGACTTTGGACTTTGGAGGTATACACAAATATCTTATTTCAATTTAACATTCAACTTTTTATATATACGAAATAAAAAAGAATAAATTAGACTACACGAAACGAGACTAACTCTTTTTTTTTTTTTTTTTTTGAAAACAACAAAAAAATTTATATGACGCAAATAGACCGCAAAAGCCTTCTAGTAGATAAGTTGCACATTACCAAAAAAAAAAAAAAAAGGAGTAATCCTCTCATTATGTATAGTGATTTATATATATATATATATATATATATATATATATATATATATATAAACATGTTTGACGTAACATTTTTGATCTCTACTAATAAACCCCTTGATAGTGTCAAGTAAAAGAAAGTAATGATCGATATAAAAATACCGCCATGTTTAACGCGAATCGAGCAAAGTAGTTGACTTTCTTGGTAATACATATTGAGCGAAGATAAGGAGTGCCATTTCTTTTTTTTTTTTTTTTTTTTAGTTTGCTCCATCCATATGGGTGGGGATTGAACCTCCAATCTCATACTTAAGGGACGAGGTGCTAAACCACCACGCCAACCATGTTAATTACTGTCTTCCTTGCTTTTAGCTCAAATATTTTCAAAACATATCTCGTATATGTTATCCATAATAAATGTTTTTTCGTCTCTATAAAATATATATATATATATATATATATATATATATATATATATATATATATATATATATATATATATATATATATATATATATATGGAATACATAAAGATAAATATTTTGAAAATTGACTTCTTTACCTCATGTTGATTAACAAGTCAACATTGGAAATCTTATGAATGCAACAGAGGGTTGGGTTGGATTAAGTCCAATTTTTTGGTTAAAACAAATACAAAAGTCTGTGTTGACGCGGTGAACACATGACATTATTGCCGGGCAGGAAACGTAAGCCAACTCCGAAACCATACTGTCAAAAATGGCCCGCGACAACCATTTCAAATACCATATATTAACTTCCCCGAACTGACTTCTGTAGAATCTTCCATTTGAAATTCTGCATCTCCATTGCCGTCCTTCTTTAATACCCCGCGTCACGCCCCCATTTATACTCCTCCTTCGTTCCCCGTACACCCAAACCTCCAAAGACTGAATCTTGGTGAGCCATGGCTTCTCTTCACACCATAGTTGTTATTACAGTCGTTCTAGCTATGCTTCCATGGCCCTCCACAAGCGATAATTTTCTGGGACCTGTGTTGTCCCCGATTTTTGGTAAGTTCCCTGAAATTTTCTTTCTGTTTCTGATCAACCCTTTTTTTTTTTTTTGGTTGGTGTTATAGTTGAGGATTTGGTGAGTTTCTGGTTTTGGGGTGTGGGTTTTAAGAAATTGAATTTATTGTTGCTGTTTATGTGTTTGAGTGTTTGTTGCTGTGACTTATTTTTGTTGGCTTGATGTGTTTGGTGATAGATACTGTGTGCAAAGCTGATGTGTGTGGAAAGGGGACTTGCAAGGCATCAAATGGCAGTTTTGGTTATGAATGTGAATGTGATGCTGGGTGGAAGCAAACTCGTTCTCAGAATGATACTTTGTTCAAGTTTCTGCCTTGTATTATCCCCAACTGTAAGTGCTGCTGTCTCCCATCTTTGTTCTCTTCAATTCATTGTTTCTGCAGTTCTAATTTTTCGAGTTTATCTCCTTGATCTGAGTTATGAGTGACAAGGAAACCTGAAGCCACTACCCGAAGGTGTACACTGTCTAAATCTCGTCTTGTGACCCTAGCTGGTAAAGAATCACCTTAAGTTGTCCGACCAGCTCAAACTAAGAAGACCAATAGGCCGCTATGCTAGGAGTCAAACTTGTAACCTTATGGTTACCAAGTCAACAGCTCGACCAACTTGGCTGGGTTGTCCCCCTTGATTTGAGTTCTAGTTTTAGTAGTTAATGATTGATATTAGGTCTCAAGAATTGTCTCAGTATATTGTTATTGCAGCTTACAAGGACTCCAAGAACACGACTTTAAGTGATTTTCTTACTAATATATTGCTTGGTTGGTTTGTTGTGATCTGTCTGTCTTAAGAGTACAATTGCCAAAAGGAGGAGAGTGTTTCAACGTCTTATATTTTCCTTTCTTTGTAGTACTCAAATCTTTTGTCTTATGGAGTTAAACATTGATAATTTAATACGGAGCAGATAAGTCATAATAGAAGCTTAACACGGCTCTATAAAATTGACAGGGATAGTGTTGTTATTTAATGGTGATCTTGGTATGTCAACGTTGTTTGGGTACTATAACAATATTTTTTATCTTTGCTTACAAGTTGCAAAGAAAATTCTGTCAAATCAGATCCGAAACATATTCAATGGCACCAATAGCCTTTTAACAAGGACACATTCTTGTTTATTTCTTACCATTAATGCATTTGAATTTTAGTTCAATCTTTGTCCAGCTTACTTGTTTATCTGAAATACACATAAAACATATGATTTGGTGATCAGGGATTGGTCCAAGATTCATATAAAGTCAAAAATTGTACATGGTTGTTTGAAACCCTGTTGTTTGTTTTTTCTCCTCATATTAGAGATCCGTCATTTTCATTATACAGTTCATACTGATTATAGATGTCATTTCTTTTAGGTTCTCTCGACTTCAACTGTGGAGAAGAAGCACCTGCACCTGCACCAAATAGGGCAGTCAATTCATCAATCTTCGAACGTAATAACAAATTACCTAATAATATCGTATTGCAGTTGTAAAATTGTGAACTTTCTTTCTTTGTCATCTTCAAATTTGTGACTTTTTCGCCTTATAGCCTGCCATTACGCGGATTGCGGAGGGGGCACATGCAACAAGACTTCTCCATTAACCTTTACTTGTGAATGCAAAGAGGGTTACTACAATCTGCTCAACACCACCGCTTTCCCTTGCTTCAAAGAATGTAAGACTTGACTCAAAATCCGCGTTTAAAATACGAATTTTAAAAATTTTAGAACTAATTTTGCCATCTGTATTTGTTTTGGAAGTTCTTATGATTGGTTTATTATATGCATTTAGGCGCACTTGGAATGGACTGTAAGGATCTCGGGATTGGCTTCCCTAAGGGATCAAATAGAGCTCCAGCCCCAAGCTTATCTGATAATAGTAAAGGTGAGATTTTTCCAGTATTGTTAATCAGTAATGAATCATCTTTATACTTAAAATTTTCCTTTGTGTTCATATTTCGTAGTTTTAGTTATACAGGAATAAATTAGTTTGAGTCTTTTCGTCGTGTCATACAAATGCACTAATGAAATATATTTCGTTCTTACAATTAAAAGCAGCAAGCTCAATGATCGGAGGTGGCTTTGTCTGGAAGGTTATTGCAGCAGCATCACTAGCGATAATTTTGTTGAAATAGATGTAGAAGATGGATGAGATTTCTAGTCTAGCTACTATATGAATAAACAAGCTATTCACCTATTCTGCAGTTAGCTTCTCGCGGGTTATAGAATACAAATAGTATTACTTAAGATTGATAAACTTCGGGTTATGTAGAGTTTCCACATCTGTATTATGTTTTGTCTTTCTTGTTTTGTGTATATCATGCGTTCATCCCTTTGTTCACTTACCAGACATTCTATTTGTAATTGATTTCATCAATAAATATATGTTTTGAGTCCTGAAAAATTTGTTACTGTTATCTCTTTTTGTTGGCTTAACGTGTATATTGATTGATAAAGTGTGCAAAGAAGTGGGATGTGGCAAAGGGACTTGCAAGGCATCGGGAAGTAACGCTTTAGGTTATGATTGTGAATGTGATCCGGGCTGGAAGCAAGCTCGTTCCGAGAGTGATACTTCCTTAAAGTTTCTGCCTTGCGTTATCCCCAACTGTAAGTGCTTCTCTCTTACGATTAATGCATGGAAAGTGTTGCTTGTTTTCTCCCTCGTATCAAAGATCCATCGTTTTTCATTTCTTTCAGGTTCCCTCCACTATTCGTGTGGAGAAGAAGCTCCTGCTCCCGCACCAGCTAAAACTGCCAATACATCAATCTTTGAGCGTAAGTACAACTTACCCTTCGGCTAATATCATACCTCGGTTGTAAAGCTATGAACTTTAATTTCTTTCTTTTGGTGTTATCTTCGAATAATGTGTGTTGGTTTTGCAGCCTGCCATTGGGCCGACTGTGGAGGGGGCTCGTGCAGAAAGATTTCTGCACTCACCTATGATTGTGAATGCAAGACGGGCTACTTCAATCTGCTCAACGTCACCATTTTCCCTTGCCTCAAAGAATGTAAGACTCAAAATCCTTTTTTTATGAATGAAACAGTAAATTAGGACACAGTTCTTCACGATCTGTCTACTATATGCATTAATCAGGTGCGCTTGGAATGGACTGTACGAATCTGGATATTGGGCGCTCAACGAACAAATCAGCAAGCCCTCCAGCACCAAGCTTATCTGATCACACTAACAAAGGTGAGATTTTTTCCAGCATTCTTGAATCTCAAACTTATATGCTTCCTTGTACACATGAAAAGAATGTTTGTTGTTCTTATGATTGAAAGCAGCTAGCTCGATCGTTGTAGGTGGGTTTGTCTGGAAGGCCATTGCAGCAGCAGCATCAGTAGCGATGTTTTTGTCGAACTGAAATCGATGGGGAAGATGAATAAGGAAGCTATTGTCCATTTCTAGTGTCAGCTTCTTGCAGGTTATGAGATGATAATATTCATTTGTTTCATTGATTGTTGGGTGTATAGAGTTCCCACATCTGTATCTCCAATTCTCCATCTCAGACACTCTATTTGTAATTGATTTCATCTATTAATACTATAGTTTTTGAGTAAACTTGGAACTTTTTTAAAATGGTTTCTTCACATCTCCAGAAATCTTGAGTTGCAGGATATGGAGGATAGCCTAATCCACTGCCCAAACCCTATACTAAGCCCAGTAGTCCAAAAGGACCAAAACCATGTTTATGGTCACTACATTGTTAGGTGCAAAAGTGAAACATCAATTTTTTTAATTTTTTTTTCAAATCACGAGTTGTCCTGTGCAGACCTTAATTGTATGAGACACTTTTAAACTCGTATCAGACTAATTCTCGTTCTGACCAGGCCAGTCTAATTAAGGGATAAAGTGTTGACCAGATTGGTCTTTTCATACGACAGGGGTTCCAAGTTCTAACTCTCAATCTTTCTTTTAAGGGACAAGAGTGCACGATCACTTACATCAACGAAGCTGGTTAAGTGAAATATCAATTTAACATACCCAATAACTCTTTTTTTTTTTTTTTTTTCTATACAACTTAACACCCTACAAAATTATATAAAACATAATGAAATAGCTTTGATTTCAAATTCAAAAGAAATCTGTGGGGACAGGATACATATATATTAATATGCTATCTGACTAGAGAATAGAGATGATACAATGTTTAATCTGGATGGAGTACTTTTTACTGTTCCAAATCTTAATGTTTAATATAAGCTCACAGGAAAGGTGGATACACAGTAGTTTATTGTACGCCAAGCCGCTAGCAAGATCTGACACTCCCATTATTACACAACCACCAGACAAGACACCAAATGCACGGCGGCTCCGCCATTACCGGCGGCGTACGTACGTCATCCCATTAATCATCATGCCAAGAAAGCACCGTCAAGTCCACACCTCTTCTTCTGCTGCCTTGGAACTTGATCAACAGCCAAAAGTGCTCCCCTCATCATCATCATCATCTCAGACGCTCTCTTCGAGACAACGCAAGCTTTGTCTCTTTCTCTGCATCGGAAACCGTGCGCGCATTATTGAAAAAGCTTTTATCTTTTCTTGCTTGAAATGGTGGGTTTTCTACTTTTCTTTTCGATCGCCTTCTCGGTTTCTGTTTCCTATGAGAGAGAGCTTTCTTCTTTCTGCTGCGCAACAAATGGAGCCCCTCTACCCTAGCTCCTATTACTAGCTCACACTTCATTTATTTATCATAGGGAGGAAGTAGTAGTCCAGGCCAGTTAAGTCTAGCCTAATAACTTGGAATCAAATAGGTTTCATTGATGGAAGTTGCTCGGATTTGGTGGAAATGTGGGATTAATTAGAATCTTTTGGGTATCAATCATATCAAATATGGTGTATATAATATATTGGATAATTCTAGACAAGTTGGTCAGATCATTAAATTGGTAAAGTTTAAGTTACGGTGAGAACGTTTAATTTTATTGATTTTTTTGAACTGATTTACTTTATTATGGTCTTTTGTCTACTACGACAGTGAAATGAATTTACCAAATGAACACTTTTTAGTAATGATCTATTTTTTAAATTTTATATTTTTTATTTTTTACTTCAATTGATCAGTTATAGCAACCTATGCTGGAGTCCCCTGCTGTTAAAATTAGCTCACAATTCATTTACTTTGTGATAGGTTGTAGTCCAATTAAGTCTACCCTAATAATTTGTGTCAAATAGGTTTCATTGATGGAAGGTGCTCCAGTTTGGTGGAAATGTGGAATTAATTAATTTTTTTTGGGTATCAGTAGTATCAAATATCTAATATATGGGGATAACTTTAATCAGGTTCATTTTGATTGTTGTTTTGATATTTTCAATGTTACAAATTTTAATTTTTAAAAAATTGTCTATTAGTCTTTTTAACTTAAACTAATCAAATTATGAACAACTTAGATTGTTAGTTTCTTCTAGTTCTATGTTAGCTAGGGCACAAGATAATGTTTACTTTGACCACTACATATGTGGAGTATTGGCTTCGAGATTCTATTGTCACCCAAAAATACATAGTATAGGTACATACGATGCATTTGATATTATTAGAGGTGTTAGTTGACACTATAAAGTAACGTTTTTTGTTTTGAGTTTGAATTATGAGAATGTAATTATATATCTTTAAAGTTAAATTTTATGAAAGAATGCTTTGTCACCCTTTGTGATTTTATCCAATATAAACATAATCAGTGTTGATATATAAGATTATAATGTATTATGATTAAGAAAATATGTGTTCCGACAAAAACTAAATAACTTTTAACATTTTAGAATTCAAACAATACTCAAAGTTTAGAGATTTTCAAAAGTGCATCATGTAAGAAATGTTTGATTATATAATATATTAATTTATTGAGATTATATTAAATATTATTGGTATCATAAAAATTCCATGAAGTTAGATGCGCATATTAAATGGGGAAAGGGATGTTTGGTGATTGAAATAATCCAAGATTCCAATAATTATGATAAGCACATCAACCATAACATCATCAACAATAAATGGTACTTATGGTCAAGTGGGGTGGGGGTAATAGTAAGCAATGCAGTAAACAAATTGAATCTTTTTTCTTTTTTTTTTTTTTTTTCTTTTTTAAATAAAAAAAAAAACAAATTAAGAAATTACAGTGCAACAGATCAGCTAAGTGTGTGATTAGAAACCCAAAAAAAAAAAAAGAAGTAAAGGAATATTGAACATATCTTTCGTTGGTAACGAAAATGAAAACCACGCAATTGTTGGTTGTCCGATAACGTAATATTCTCCGAAGCAAATTCAGCGGCTGTTGTTCCCATCAACACACCTTGCAATTTGGTGCGACGTTCACATCCCATTAATAATACCCACTTCCCTTCCCTTCTCTTCCTGCACTTTCCCTTCCCCCAACTCACAACTTTTACCATTTTTGGTATTCATTAACACAATTTGCTACACATGTAAATCAGAATCGTAATACGAATCAAATACTTAGTAATGATAATGAATTTTTTTTGTGAAAGTATTTTTCATGTTTGGTAATTGGTAGTATGATGAAATTGGAATGATTATTAATATTGATGTTTAGTTATATATGATCCTATAATGGGAATAAATATTTTAAAATACAAAAATATAATAAAAATTTAAGGCAATTGATCATAATATAATGAAATCCAAAGCACTAATATATATATATATATATATATATATATATATATATATATATATATATATATATATATATAATTATAACAAAAATCTAAAAACACTAATCTAAATTTAGAAATCAAATTTATTTGTTAATAAGTTAAAAAAAGTTAAGTAAGCTGAAAACTTGTCAAAAGAATTAATAACAATGTATTCGAATTTGTACTTTGTTTAATTTTAATTTCTTCATTTTCCTATTTTATTTAATTTTAATGATTTCAATTGCTTCGAATATTTTAATTTTAATAAGTTTAAGTTTTACCATTTGAATAGTTACGTAATATGAATTATTTTATTTCATATTTTTTTTGTGTACTACAATTTCTATTGAATTATATACATAAATACATAATATGAGTAATTTTTAATTAAAATAATAATATAAGTAATATTTCATTTTCGTTATTTTTAATATTTTAATATAATTTATATATTGATACAAAATAATAATTGTAGAGATAAATTATAAAAGTTAATAATTTTTTAATGTGATATAAATGTGGATCAGTTTTAAAAGTGAGAAAGTATTGCAAGAATAATTTCAGCTTAAAATTTCTTTTTTTTTTTTTTGATATACTCAGGGTTTCCACCTTCAGACACGATTAATTCCGTGGTTGAATTGTAAACACCTCTTTTAGATGGAACAATTGATCTGGAGAATTAAAACAGCTCTATTCCTAAAGTCAAAATCAAACTCTGAATTTTTGATTAAAAAGAATGAGTCTTTTCCACTCAACCACACCTTGCAAGTTATTTCATGTTGAAATGGTAGAAGGCTCACAATGACAATAGAATATAGTCAAAGCTAATAATTATACATCAAATCAAACATGGAGAGTAGGTATCCTATAGGGTCCAAATAGTAGGTCGAAGGGCGAGCCAGTTGACGTGAATTGACACATATCTGATCTGTAAGCTGTGAGGGCCCCAAGAAGCTATATATCAGAGCTGCAATGGCGATAGGTCCACGTTGTATAGTATGTAGTATCCTCAGATCACATGAAATTATGAAGACGATCTTCTTGTTGGATGGGCTCCGATCCTGCCTAAACATTCATCTTTTATCTCAAAACCTGCAAATCCTACTCCCCATTTTCTACCGCTACATTGTCTGCTGCATCATATCGGATTTGTAGTTTTGTACTCTTCAATTTTTTTTTATTTTTTTTATTGCATAAATCCTCTCTCACTTTTCTTGATATAACCATAGGTTAACTGTTGGGATTTGGACTATTAATGCACTACTATTCCCCTTCATCGTCAATGTATAGTGGTCTTCAAATAGACGTTTAGTGGCAACTCAAAAATTAAAATAATTTGGTTTTACAAAATTTAAAAGTTTATTATTTTGAATTTAATTAGCTTAATATAAAATATAATTTGTTAGGTATAGGTAAATAATAATATTTAGCACAATTTAATTTTGTTAAAATTATGTTTTATGTAGTTTAATTTTTAATCAATTTATGTTCAATATTATATTAGTCTTGTTTTAATTGCCCTGATGCGATATTTTAAATGATATAATTTATTTTTAATAGAGTTCTACCACATGAATTCACAAATTTTTCTTCTTCACTTTTACTTCTTGACGTGACAGACAATGATATGGGCCATGTTTGGTAAAATGGTTGTTAGTTTTTTTTTTTTTATATGGCTGTTAGCTGTTAGCTGATTGTGTTAATTAGATGGTATAAATAGTTGATAACATTAGCTGATTGTAGAAAAGTATTTGGTAAATTAGCTCTCAGCTGATAGCTGTTTGGTATAATTTTTTTTCTCAAAAAGCTAATTGAAAAAGTTGTTTGGAGTAACTTTTAGAATTTTAGCATTTTGAAGTTGCAAAAAGCTAATTAACCAAACATTTATATTGATATTTTAACTAAATCAAACAA